TTCCGTGGACACAATGTATACAGAGGCTTCAAAAGTTTGTGTGAATGTTCCAGGGTGTTTTCATGTCATTTTGCCACAGACTTTTTGAAGACCCTACCTTTACACATGTTACACTTATCCCTAGAGCTTTATGTGAGCTTATTTGAACCTTTTTCTCTAAAAAACTACGGGTCAGAAGAAGAGACCTGAAAGAACACACACACACACACACACACAGCTTGTTGCCAAATTGTCTGTGAGTAAGATGAATCATTCTGTAGAAGGCGAATGAAGCTCTTAACCTTCAAAGGATAGTCATCTGCCTCAAATAGTTTTAAACATACTTTGTCATGAAACTACAAAATGAGACTGTATATGTTCACTCTGAAATATTTACTTAACCATAATAAAAGGTCAGATAGATTCCCAAGTGAACTGACTTATGATACCTGCGATAACGTGAAATTTTAACTATACTTTCAGCTTGGCTTCCGCTCATTGATCATGTTTGACACAAAAGTCAAAAGCCCTTTTTAAGTCCCGCCGCGAAGCCTGACTTAGAAAATACGGTGTTTTGTTCTGGTTTTGCCTGCAGTGCAAGGTATGAATGAAAAGCAGTGAACTGAAAAGGAAGGCTTTTAAATTTGGCATATAATAGATGACATTTTATGCTTCCCATTTTTAAGACTTCAACTCAAGTGCATGTATGCATCATTAAATTAAGGATGTAAAGAAAATCTGGTATCACACATCTCTAACATTGTCCAGATTCTATACCAAAAAAAGTAAAAGAACGGGGGAAAAAAGGAAAGAAAATTTATGTCACAACACATATTTTTTATAGTTCAACTACATTATTACAGAAGGACCTCTGCAAAATACTTATAAAGTTAAACTTAGCCTTCGGAAACTTTATTTCCTTTTCAAAATAGCTCTTTAGAGCTTGGTCTTCCTAAAGTGTGATGCTTTTGAGCACATCACCAAGGGAGGCTCATTATTTCTAGAACAACTTTTCTTGTTCAAATGAATCGAGTTATCAGACGTGTCAGTATAAATGGAAATACCGACTTAAAAAGAGGTGTCTCTCGCTTGTTTACTTGGTTGCCTCTAATTCTTTAAGGGTCAGTCTAAGGATATATTCTGCTTCTGCAACACAAGCTCAGGGTGGTCTTTTT